ACTACTAAATCATGTCCCTCAGCACCACATCTACAAGTCTTTTAAATAACCTCCAGGGACGGTGACTCAACCGCTCTCCTAAGAAGCCTGTTTCAATGCTTGATAACACTTTCACTGAAGAAATGTTTCCTAATATCCTATCTAAACCTCCCCTGGTGCAACTTGAGGCCATTTCCTCTTTGCCTGTGACTTGGGAGAAGAGGCCAAGCCTCACCTCTCTACACCCTCCTCTCAGGGAGTTGGAGAGAGCAAGAAGGCCTTCCCTCAGCCTCCTCTTCTCCAGGCTGAACACCCCCAGCTCCCTCAGCCTCTCCTCACAAGACTTGCTCTCCAGACCCTTCACCAGCCTCGTTGCCCTTCTCTGGACTCACTCCAGCCCCTCAATGTCTCAATGCCCAGAACTGAACACAGCACTCGAGGTGCAGCCTTGCCAGTACGAGTACAGGGGGACAAACACTCCCCCAGTCCTGTTGGCCACACTATGCCTGAGACAAGTCACGATGCTGTTGGCCTTCTTGGCCACCTGGGCACACTGCTGGATCATATTCAGCCAACAGTCGACCAACATCTCCAGGTCCTTTTCCATGGGGCAGCTCTCCTGCCACTCTGCCCCCAGCCTGCACTACAGGGTTGGTGTGACCCAACGGCACTTCATCTTATTGAACCTCATCCCACTGGCCTCAGCCCATCCATCCAGCCTGTCCAGATCCCTCTGTAGAGCCTTCCTACCCTCAAGCAGATCAGCACTCCTGCCCAACTTGGTGTCCTCTGCAAACTTACTGAGGGTGCACTCGGTCCCCTCATCCAGATCATTGACAAGGATATTAAAGAGAACTGGCTCCAGTACTGAGCCCTGGGGAACACCAGTTGTGACCAGCCACCAACTGGCTTTAACTCCATTCACCACATGTCTCTGGGCCAGGCCATCCAGAAACTTTTTTTACCCAGTGAAGAGTACGCCTATCCAAGCTATGAGCAGCCAGTTCTTCCTTTAAGCTCATCATACACATGACTAGAAAATACTCACACCGTGCCTACGGCTGTGAGAATTCTCCATTGGAATTTCAGGTTTTAGGTGAATTCTGAAAAGTTGGCTGGGACAGTTACAAGGAGGACACATTGCAAGCACATTGCAAAAATCTTCTTTTGGGGTCTTGAGGTTTTCTTGATGCAAGTCACTTCCTGTGGTTTTACAGCTCTGAGAAGCTGCTGTTTACTTATGTCTTTTAAAGTGCCTGAAAGTCTATGCTTATCTTTACAGCAGACTATAAAGCGTTTACATGATAAAATTAGTACCCTTAATGAGACACTCGTTTGCTATAAAGTTCCTAAAATAAGGTCCATCATTGTAATTTAACAGTATCAGCACCATTTGCTTCACTCATATGTGGAGGGTCAGATCCCATGACACACGAGTGGATGAACCTTCATTTTTAGTTTTATTCCTAGTGACACTCTCATCATAATGAATTATTGCTTTTAAAGTTATAGACATTTTAAAGATGAATGCCCACAAATACTTGAACTTTGACCATTATTAAAAGACAGTGGACCGCTAAGAAGGCAACTGCAAGAACTGAAGGAGAAGGGAACCTAAGTAACAACTGGAAGAGGAAGTTCATTTTTTGCTTTCTGCATACAAATCCAAGAACACATTCCTAAAGACTTCAAGGAAACAAGACACAAGGTGTTATTTTAGCCAAGAGAAAAACCTGGAATTTTAGCAAACAAAGAAAAATGTTCATAAACACGGCAATGCTGGCTGGCGAATTCTCCCTCTGTACACCACTTCTAACGACTGGCAACTGTGAGGTATGAAAGGGATGCACTTCAGGAACCGATTGAGCCTTTAGAAGTTTATTCTGAAATATAATGGCCGTCACATAGCCCAAGAAATTCAAAGGTTGTACTACAAGAATTGAAATTTCCATTTGGGAATATTGGGGGTGATGGCCTAGGAAGAGGGTTTTTCTAAGCATGCTTAGTAAACCCAAGCATATCTAATAAAATTAACAAGGAAGTAAAACCAAGTCAGGTTCCGAAGATATCACAAAGACTTTAACATCCTTTCTCCAATATGACATCATCGTAAGAGAAAACTGTACAGGTCACAGGCATAATCATAACCCAAATCAAGAGTTATATCTATAAAGCTCCGCCTACTAGTATAAAAGCAGAGAAGAAAGCACTCTCTTCTGCACAGATACATTAGTCACATAAATTGCACGTGGGTTATTTTTGTTTAAAAAGTTAAACTTTTCTTTTACATCCTTACTACGCTAAAGAATATAGATGGGATATCATTTTAAGAAATCCTATTTTTTTCTTTTAGGTTTTTACTGATATGGGCAGAAGCTTTATACTGCATGTTTTTGTATGCACACAAATGACGTAACAAATATACGTTTGGGAGGAAAAGCCGCTTATTTGGGGGAAAAAATATTTTATATCAAAGTTTTGATTATTCTGGTATCTACTTGTTGATAATTGTGATCAACTGTACTCATATTACACATTTTCTGAATCAAAGAAATAAGGAACAGCTGCTTTCAAAGAGTTTTATCTAAACGTATTTTGGCTTTCTTACCTATTTTTATTATACTATTACTACCTCTATTTTTTATTGCAAGAGCTCATTTTGCATACCCTGAAGGAGTCAAACAGACATTAATACCTAGAACTGCTGTTCAATTTACTTGAGTGTCATTAGTTATGAGCCTTAATGAAGACACTTAATGAATGGATCTACTTCTTTGTTCGTGAACAATCTTCACGACATGAGTAATTGCACGCAATGATCTTGTTACTTCATTTTGCACCCACTACCCCAGATAATTCCTTACTGCATACAGGAACGAGCACGCACTGCAGCCTGTGGGAAGTATTTACAGGATTTTGTTCCATTGTCTTCTGTAAGTCACATAATTTCACATGGTTTCTGCTTCTTCTGACTGGTGCGTGATGTCTAACCAAGACTTTGGTAGAGGCGGGATAGTCTCAAATTCAGAAATAGGAGTGAATCAAGCACAGCCCAGTCAGACAGCTCTATTTTGTGTAAGGAAAGTAGGTTACCTAGTTAACTGCATACAAATGAAGCCATTAAGTGTGCTGCCAGGTAGATTCTATGCACTTTAATTTTCAATAGTAAATGCGATACTGAAGGATCCACCCTTACCTGGCCTCATAGAGATATGTTTAATGCCTTTCTTTCTTTCTTTTTTCTAAAGAATAATCAGTTTCTGATTCACTAATAGAGCTACTGAGAATGTTTCTACTTGCATCTCCTATCCTCCCACTCCAAAAGCTGTGTCACTGCTTATCTGTCAGAGGATCCCTGTCACAGATGTTCTGGTTCTACACCGACTTTTATCAGAAAAAGCATTCTTCCTACAGGCATTTCTTTGGATTATTATACGTCCCTGCCATTTTTTTCCTCCCAATTTATCAAATACAACCTGATTTTTTCACAGTCTTTCCAAACTTATGCACACATTAAGTGAACGCATAATAGTTTTGTTTTTGTTTTACTCTGAAGACCTGAACCTGTTTCCTTAGAGCTCGGCAGCAGCAGACTCCCATGCGTCTGGTGAAAAGATAATCCCTTCTTTTTTTTTTTGTACTCTGAATCCTTATTCCACATGACACTTAAATGAACACGCATTCAGCTCCTCAGTGCTGAAAATGCACCGAGAAAAATAAACACCAAGAAGTCAGAATAGCTTTCCACTTTTTTTTCTTTAAACCATACAAATACTAATATGGATGCTCTGAATAAATACACATGGACCCATGTGTATTTATTCAAGTGTGAACACTTACAGCTGACCACTTAATACGGTTCAGTACAAAGACTATAATTAAAATACAAAGTCAAATTCTTAGTGCAATACTGGATGTCTGTTATACTTTTACGCTGCATTTTATACTGTTATACTATTACCTGCAAACAGCATCCCCCCCATTTTCAGTAGGCTTTTATTAATTGTTTTCAGCACCATCCCCTAAATGACATTGCTAACAAAAAGCTTAGGAAAAATAGGGCACTTGCTCAAGCAAGTTAAATCAGGCACTGCCTAGAGAAGGCAGTGACTTAGGATGGGGTTGGTTTTGCTGTCTGAATTAAAAATAAGAGGCACGTTCACTGTAGTAGGGTGATGATTTCTGCAAATTCAGCCAGCTGAAAAGCCACAATTAAAGACAAGCTACAAGCCCCTTGTTGCAACTGCCCATCAGCGCGGCCGTTCCTCTCAGTAAGGATTAGGACAGGGTTTGCAGGATTGGGTGCTTCATCTCACCATACACCAAGGATGAACAGTGAGATGCTGTGGAACCACTGCCTGCTAGCAAACTTTGTAGGAATGTGTCAGATATATTGTCTTTATCTAGAAAGCCCAGCATCAAGAGATGTCAGGGATAATACTTGTTTAAATTGCGAAAGAACAAAGAGGTATTTTCTAATCATCCCTCTGTTCCTGTACTAACCTGGGAGCAGACTGGCTTCAGAAATGTGAAATAATATTTTGATAACCAAAGAAACTATTTCCAAGCTATTTCCACTTCAAGTTGCGAACTGGAAGCCTTTGTAATTCTAAGGACAATTCCTTCCTATGATGTATTTTACCTCTTCTTTTAACCGTTTGCTGGACAGCTTGTGATGAGATACGCCTAAGATTGTTCTTCTCAAATAATTATTTTTTTTTTTTTTTTTTTTCACTCCATGGCTAAGTCCTTATCCAAACCCTTCTGATCTAAACAAACATAAAGCAATTAGTTTATCTGGAGTTTAGAGCAGAAGAGCTCTGAACTGCCCAGAGAGGCTTAGTTTTCCTCTAACAGGAGCTCAGCTTTTAGCCCCAAGGAGCTGTGTGGGCTGCGAAGTCCTTACGGGCTGAATCCCAACCTCGCTAAAGCCGAAACGCTTTGGTATTTTTTTGGTCTTTAAAAGATTTTCTCAGCAGTTTCTCCCACGTCTACCCGTGCACACAAAGATGAGGTCTCACCTGACTTGTCGGAAGAGTCGTCAAACTCCACGTTGAAGGAGTGCCCGTTGTTGACGATGTTCCTGGCCGTGCCGGCATCGTAACTGAAGCTGAGGGGCTTCAGAGAGGAGTCGTACTTGGCCGACTTGCTGCTGATGGCAATAGGGGACTGGCGCTCTCCGTTGGCGATGGGGAAGTGCTCATGCCAGTGAGCCGGTCCTGCAGGACAGCGTTGAGCAGCTCAGTGGGACAAGGCATGAAGCTCGGGGGGGGGGACAGACATGACAACCCTCACTCGAGAAACCGGGATGTTTTAATGCTATTATGATGTAACTAGAGGGAACAGACAGGACAACAGGGCACAGGCACAAACTTGAACATGACAAGTTCTATCTAATCATGAGGAGAAACTTCTTCACTTTGAGGGTGACAGAGCCCTGGCAGAGGCTGCCCAGGGAGGTGGTGGTGTCTCCTTCTCTGGAGACATTCAAAACCCACCTGGACACGCTCCTGTGCAACCTGCTCTGGGTGGACCTGCTTTGGACTAGATGATCTCCAGAGGTTCCTTCCAACCCCAAATCATTCTGTGATGACATCACACACCACCTGTGCTGGTTGCCAATGCTGGCAACACAGACAAGGGGAAGTCCCACCTGGGGACCACGGCAGGGACCCTCCAGTCCCTAAACCTTTGGAGGCTGAGGCTGGGGTTTTACCGGGGCGGGGGTGGGGGGGTGTCCTTCTTAGAGGCCACCCCATCCGGGTGGAGCAACCCCCCGTCCCGTCCTCCCCTCTTCCTTGCTCTGAGAACGACAGGGGGGAAACCAGGAGATGCTCCAGGCAAAAAACCTTGCCTGGCGCTGTTCGGGCGCAGGTGGCATCTCAAGGTTAAAAAAAAAAATATTAAAAAAAGCGGGAAAAAAATAAAAAAGAGAAAAAAAAAGAAAGGAAAAATAAAAAGGGGGAAAAAAATTAAATAAAAGGGGGGAAAAAAATTAAATAAAAGGGGGGAAAAATTAAATAAAAGGGGGAAAAAATTAAATAAAAGGGGGAAAAAATTAAATAAAAGGAAAAAAAGGGGGGGAAAAGAGGGAAAAAATAAAAAAGGGGAAAAAATAAAATAGGAAAAAAATTTAAAAAAGGAAAAAAAAGAGGGAAAAAAAAAAGGGAAAAATAAAAAAAAAAAGGGGGGGAAAAAGAAATGATAATAAAAAAGGGAAAAAGCGCCACCGAGCTCGTTCCCGCTCCGGTGCGGCACCTCCCGGGGACCTGCCGGCAGGTGTCCCGTCCCGTCCCGCACCGCCCCGCACTCACCGTCGTGGCTGCCGTAACCCCAGTGGTGGGACATGGTGGTGATTGCTCCGCTGTCGCAGCGCCCTGACCCCGCCGCCGTCCTCCTCAGGGGCTTTTATAGCCTCCCGCCGACTCCATGCCCCGCTCCGCGGCCGGAGGAAGGGGTGGGGAGCGCGGAGAGGGGGGGCGGAGAGAGAACCGGCCCCTTATAATCCGCGCCCGCGGAGCTGCGGAGCGCCCCCGGGAGCCGGCGGCCTTCCCTCCTTCCCTCCCTCCGTCCTTCCTCCTCTCCCTCCCTCCGCTTCCCGCTTTCCCCCCCCCCCCCCCCCCCTCTCGGCTCCTGCCCGGCCTTGGGGGGGGGGGGTGCCGGTGGCGGGCGGCGCGTACGCGGGTGCGTGGGATGGTGTGTGTGTGCGTGTGTGTGTGTGTGTGTGTGTGTGTGTGTGCGGGGCCGGGCAGGGCGGTCTCCTGCTGCTCCCTGCTGGGGCTGCGGGGAAAAACTCGGCACTGGAGGGGGGGTGGTGATTTTGGGGGGAAAAACGGCGGGTTTGGTGGTGGTTACTGGGTTCTGGAAGGGATTTACCGGCGGGGAGGGGGCGCTCAGCCGAGGGGAGCGGCGGTCCGGCTCCAGGAGGATGAGAACGTTGCCGCTTATTACTTTATAATGTATTTTTGGGTGGGTTTTTTTGGGTTTTTTTTGATTTTTGGGTTTTTTTTTGATTTTTTTCCGGCTGGCGTTCGGAGGGGACAGCGGGGAGAGCTCTGCTGACCCCGGCTTCTCGGCATTTTGGGGTTGCCTACAAGCTGCCCCATGAGAGCAGACTCAACCACCACCCCCCAGGATGCGCTTGGCAGGAGTAAAATTGAGCAATGCTCATTTTGGGATGGTTTTTTTATGTCGCTCAACCCCCTGGTGTTTCATCCTTGACAGCCCCCTTAAGCCCCGCGGCTGCCACCAGCCCTGGACCGACTCACAGGAGGATGATACGGGGTTGGATGGGACCTCTGGAGGTCATCTAGTCCAACCCCCCCTGCATGAGCAGGTCCACCCAGAGCAGGTCCCACAGGAAGGTGTCCAGGGGGGGTCGGAATGTCTCCAGGGGGTCCTCTCATCCCCACGCTGCTGCCGGGGTTGTCTGACCCCCCTGGAGCAACTCACCCCTTGGGTGGGTTCACAGATGATCCTTTTTGAACGCTCTTCTGTGCCCTCTTGCTCCGAGAGATCTTTTCGGTCTGGGAATGACATTGTAAATGTAGAATTAGTTTGTCCCGTTTTCTTAATTCGGAGGATTTATTGGAATATGTTTTTCATTTTCATTCTGTTGTGATTCAACCCCAGCGGCCCGAATTCTGTTGTCAGAGGGGTCATTGTTAAGTCTGGAATAACAACATCAGGATGACTCCCATCATTTACATTCGGCATTGTAAAATGCGTGTCATTTGCTTTTATTTGTTAACGGGGGGGGGGAGACTATTCATACAATGTGGTTACTGTTGCTAATAGCAAAAGAAACCATCTGGGAAATTGCTTATAAAAATTAAAAGGCATTTCTCAGGCCCCTTGGAGTAGGAGCAGAAAATATTTAAAGCTTATTACTGATTAACGCAGCGTGTGTCCTCTGGCATTTGCATGTCTCCGCTCACGACGAGTTAGCCACCACAAAATGGAAATGTGAAGGCAAAACTGTAGGTGCAGAAGATATTTAGGAGCGGTGCGTACGTGAGGTAGGAGAGCAAATGGAAAGGCAGGTTGGAAAGCTGTTAGCAATTCCTTGCTTGCTCATTATAGATACTTTCTGGCAATCGCTTTTACATCTGCTGATTGTGCTGCCCAAGTGCTCTCACAAACACACATCCATAGAGGTAAGAATCCCTGAAGAATAAAGCAGAAAACATGCCTTAGTGTTGCAGGGAGGAATTAAGACTTTTGTATGTTTTAGAAGGCTTCCTTCCGTTTAATCTTACTGTAAAAAAAAAAATTAATCAATTCAGCTCGATTCCTCTGCGCTCCCCTATGTCAAGTTTCCACTGACGTCAAAGGGTAAGTACCACATAAAGGACAAGCACGGGATTAAGCACCACACAATGTCTGGCAAGGTGGGCTTCCTCAAAGATCTACTTAGGGCTCTAACCGGGGAAATGATGTCAGCAGCACCACCGAGGGACTGGGATTTTAATTACTTGACTCTTCATGGCATCACGTTACTTCTTTCAGTGTGTATGTACGTGGTGCATGCTAAGCACACGCAGACACACATCCACAAATAGAAGGTCCATTGTTTTTGAAACCAAATCCCCGTTTTCCTTGATCACTCGGCAGTTAGTACGTGCAGGCCTGAGCCCGTGCAGAGAAGCTGCTGTTGAGAGCCTCCCATTGACTTGGGCTCCTTGATGTGTCTACAGGCACAAACTTGAGTATAAGAAGTTCCACCTAAACATGAGGAGGAACTTCTTTACTGTGAGAGTAGTGGAGCACTGGAACAGGCTGCCCAGAGAGGTGGTGGAGTCTCCTTCTCTGGAGACATTCAAAAACCGCCTGGACAAGATCCTGTGCAACCTGCTCTGGGTGGTCCCACTCCGGTGGGGGAGTTGGACTTGATGATCTCCAGAGGTCCCTTCCCAACCCCATATGATTCTATGAATCATAGAATCATAGAATGGTTTGGGTTGGAAGGGACCTCAAAGATCATCCAGTTCCAACCCCCTGCCCTGGGCAGGGACACCTCCCACCAGACCAGGTTGCTCAAGGCCCCATCCAGCCTGGCCTTGAACCCCTCCAGGGATGGGGCATCCACAACTTCCCTGGGCAACCTGTTCCAGTATCTCACCACCCTCATAGTAAAAAATTTCTTCCTGAGATCTAATCTGAATCTTTTTTCTTCCAATTGATTCCTCCTCCTTTTTTTTGCCTCCTGCCTGTGTCAGGCTCCCCTAGTCTGTGGCGATGGTTTTATGGCAGAACGGAAGGCCCCAAAGGAAGCCCTAAGGCAGCACGGTACCAGCACTAGCTCCAGCATCCCCCAGAAGTCCACGCTATGCTCCATAAACCTCCCCTCTCTGCCACAGTTCTGCTGGGATCCGTGGAATGAGGCGTCGCAGCAAGGCCTGCTTGCACCTACAGAGTGTGTAGGAGCAGTTCCTAAAGCAAATGTTCACAAATCCTATGGCGACAGAAGCCTTATAAATATATTTCAAGCAATACAAGCACAGGGAACAGATTAGCTAATTAACGTAGCCACTGGATTACTCATGAATCTGACATTAACATTTTGGGTAGAAAAGATGCCAGGATAATCTTGTCTCCCATTTCTGGTCTCTCGTTACCGGTACCACAAACTACGAGGGTCTTTAGAAACTAATAGAACCAAATACCTTTCTTCATCTCTATTTCTTAGCAGTGCATCACACCTGAATATGGTAAACAAATAAGTGTTTCTAGATTTGATGGTACTTTTTAATCACGTTAGTAAATACAAACACAAGCAGCGTCAATGGTTTCGGTAGGTGCAAACTCTTCACTCCCTCAGATACCTCCACACCATCATAGATTCATAGAATTGCCCAGGCCGGAAGGGACCTGCAAAGCTCATCTAGTCTGACCTCCCCGCAGTCAGCAGGGACACCCCCAACTAGACCAGGTTGCCCAGGGCCTCGTCGAGCCTCTCCTTGAATATCTCCAGGGATGGGGCCTCAACCACCTCCCTGGGCAACCTGTTCCAGTGCTCCACCACCCTCACAGTGAAGAACCCTCTCCTCATCTCCAGTCTAAATCTGTTCCCCTCCAGTTTAAAGCCATTGCCCCTCGTCCTGTCACTGCAGGCCTTTCTAAACAGGCTCTCCCCAGCCTTCCTGTAGGCCCCCTCAGGTACTGGAAGGCTGCTATTAGGTCTCCCCGGAGCCTCCTCTTTTTCAGGCTGAACAACCCCAGCTCCCTCAGCCTGTCCTCGGAGCAGAGGTGCTCCATCCCCCTGATCATCCTTGTGGCCCTCCTCTGGACCCTCTCCATCGGGTCCATGTCCTTCTTATATTGAGGGCTCCAGACCTGCACACAATACTCCAGGTGAGGTCTCACCAGAGCAGAGCAAAGTGGCAGAATCCCCTCTCTGGACCTGCTGGCAACGCTTCTTTTGATGCAGCCCAGGATGGGATTGGCCTTCTGGGCTGCAAGTGCCCACAGCCTGCTCATGTCCAGCTTCTCATCCACCAGCACCCCCAAGTCCCTTTCCTCAGGGCTGCTTTCCAATACCTCACCCCCCAGTTTGTACTGATGGTGAGGATTGTTCCGGCGCAAGGTGCAGAACCTTGCATTTGCTCTTGTTGAACCTCATGAGGTTCACCTGTGCCCACCTCTCCAGCCTGTCCAGGTCCTTTTGGATGACATCCCATCCCTCTGCTGTATCGACAACACCACACAGCTTGGTATCGTCCGCAAACTTGCTGATGGTGCCTTTAATCTCCCTGTCTATATCATTGATAAAAATTGGCCCCAGCACGGACCCTTGAGGAACACCACTTGTGACTGGTCTCCATCTGGACTTTGAGCCATTGAGTATGGTCCATCGATGGACCATCGATGGTCCTCGTTCCCCGGTGAAGGACAGCGTGGAAGCCCATACATCATTTTGGCCCCATTTGAATCCTGCTTTGAAAGCTTGTGTGGTGGAGCAGATTTGTTGACTCTGTGCACAGGGAGGAAGGCATCCTGTTTATGTATGTTTTATGAAGTTTCCCCAAAGACATTTTTCTGGTCATCAATATTATTTGTGAAGCACCGCAAATGTCGGTACAGATGGGAAAATGACACAGATCCTTCCATATCAAAGGTCTTTTCTCCTTAGTAGTCAACTGGCATTTAGGAGGAGTGCTCTGGCTGCGGGAGTGATGACACATCAAACACACATCGACCTGCAAGGCCCTTTCAGCAGAAATGCACACAATGTTCACGTCATAAACCCACCTTTTAATTTTCATGGTAGGTTTTCAACTCTGCCTGAAAATCTACTTTTCAGTCATTTTTTCACCTCTTTGTCTGTGTTTCTGTTCAGTGCTGAGCAAGATCCAGAAGAACCCTGCATCATTCTGATTCATCCTAGCTGTTCTGACAGTTAAATGCAATTATGAAAATGAAAATAATTTTTGGTCCTTCAGTGAGGTGAGGTTAGAGCCCGCCCTTGTATTGCAAAAATTATGCTTTACTACTAATTTCTGATGAGAGCATAACGCAAGTATCAGCAAT